GCTTATCTTTGGGTACCCAAGAGAGAGCGGTTTTGCTGCTGCTGGAGCAGGAGAGAGATGGGCCAGACTGCAGTTTTGTAAGCAATAAACGGGTTCTAAACTTTATTTCTCCCTTTGACTGATTTCGGTTTTCAGAGGTATTTTGCCCCAGGGTTTCCTCTCCCCGGACTTACAATGCAAAGTAATCATAAGCAGATTCTGAGAATGAGAGCCTGAGGTGGTTATGGGAGTCGGCTTCATCCTGGGCCCACTGAAACCACCCTCCCAGGACTCCTCACGTGGTGCAGTACTCTCTCCTGAAATCTGGGCTGGGGCTCTGACTTGCTTTAACAAGGAAATTAAGTGGAATTTGCATTGGGCCAGATCCAGGCCTAAGCCTTGACAGGCCTGGGAGCTCCTGCTTTTGTGATTTTGGGAGCCCTGAGAAGTCTATCTACCCAAATGAAGTAACTTGCCCCCAGAGGGATTTCTGGGGAGGGAGAGAACAGAGAACACATGGGAAGGGGAAGAGCTGACTGACCATTCCAACTGCAGTCACCCAGGGGCCACTGGCCAGACCAGTAGAAGAACTGCCCAGATGATCCCAGCCCATACAACTGTGAGAAGTAATAATAAAAGAAAATATTGTTCTGTGGTACTAAGTTTTGGGGTGGTTTTATATAGCAACAGATAAAGGAGTTCTTTTGGGATCTGAGACATATAGGAAGTTGTAAAAAAGTTGAACAAAGGCTTAAACCGATCACACTGTGGTTATAAGGCCCAGGCTTTGCTTGCTAATTGACTGAAAAAAAAAAACCCAACGAGCTAATGAAAGGCTGTAGAGGGCCAGCCAGCCAACGCTGACAATCCTTTCATTCCCTCCTTCCCAGCCCTGAGGCTGGAGTTAAAATGAAATAGGATAATGTATAAAAAGGTGGCTAGCACCCAGCCTGGCATATGGTGAGCACTCAAAAATGCTTATGAGTTTGTTCATGCATTCTTAGAGCAGTGACATGGACTTGAGCACATCCATTCAGAAGCACCATGGTGAAACAGTTAAGATTATTCTGGAACCAGACAGCACGGGCTCAAATCCTGGCTCTCACTGTAGTCACACATGCAGAGCTGTAGACAACCTCCTTAACTCTTCTTTGCCTGTCTCCTCAACTGAAAATGACGATAACAGTGCCTACCTCACAGGATTGGTAAGATGAAACGAGTTACACATTAAAAGCCCAGAAGGTCCCTGACATAGTAAGGACCATGTAACTGTTAACTATTAAGAGTTTCATTGTTGTTGCTACTGTATATCTCAGACTCAGTCAGTTACACTAGCATCTATGTTCCAATATTCATAGTATTTACCTTTAAAGATTTCAAAACTGAGAAATTATTAATTAGGGTAATTATATGCCTTTTTTTTTTCTGGATTTCTCCCCAAATACAATCAGATCGAAACTCACTAGTCTTTGGTAACATCCTGGAAAAATTATCAACTCATTGTGAGAACACGGCCAAGAAAAATGACCACCGAGTGTGTGTGTGGAGAATTACAAACTAGAAGTGCTGAGACCCCAGAAAGCTGCAGAGAGCACAAGGGACAACAGGGGTGACGCACAGGAAGGTGCTGGCTCCCTGCGGCCTTGCACAGGCCCCTTAACCTACAGCCTGAGGCTCTCCACCGGTAAGGGTAACACCACTTCCGGCCTGCCCCCACACAGACAGTGACAGGGTCCAGGGCAGGAGTATATGCAATCAGACATCTGAAAAGCTCTTTGTCATCCCTAAGGCTCTGGGCAAAGGTTAGGAAGTTTGTTAATCTAGTTGTGGTATCTCACTTTGTAAAAAATAACCTGTTACATTTCTGTAAGTTTTCAAAGAAGCCCATAACTCCATTCCTGCCAGTAAGTAGGGCCACTGCAAGTTCCTTTTATGTGAGCTAACAAGAAGCATGTTTTCCTTAAGAAATGAAAGAATAGGCATTCTTTTGACAACTCTCAAAAATAGCTCAGTCTATTCAACAAAATCATCTTTGAGAAAGAAATAAAAACTCACCGTTGCCCTACACCTAAGCCTGATAGATGGCTCCCACAGGGAAGGCTTTACATAAAAGGCAGGTGGAGCGGCCTGATTCAGGCTGGCGCTGAGAAGACCTGGTATTCTGACCCCTGGGGCTCATACTCTGTCTATTCTGATCCCCCTTCCCTCCTGTCCATTGCTACACTTTACAAAAGGGCTTAGAAGTTGTATTTCTGGCCCAGTAACTCTTCCAGCTACCGCTGGGTTTGGACCAGATTTAGCCCAAGGACCTGCGGGTGACTGGGCTCACACAGTGCCAGCAGGGAGAGATGCCAACCCTGCTCCAGCCCTGGCAGACAGGCTGCCACAGGGGCAATCAGCCCTGCCTGAGGGCTCTACTTATGAACAAAGTCCTCTCTCCTTTCCAGCCGTAACCAGGGTCTCCAGGTGAGGGACACAGGGGGCCTTACTGGAGAGGAGAGGAGGGAAGCAAGGGTCCTGGAGAGAGGCGGAAAGTAAGATCTGGGGCCACCCTGGCACACTCTCCCCCAGGGCTGCTGCACACATCATGCAGTGGACAGCTACTACTGCAGGCCTGGGTACAGGTGATGGGAACACAGGAGGGTGAGGGAACTCCAGGCAGGGGCAGGGATAATGCCCAGCAGGACACAGCCTCTCTCAGGACAGGTCAGGTTTTGCCAAAGGTCAAGAGGTGGAGAGAAAGCCGGCTCTGGTCGCTGCAGAGTGAGTGGTATCTCTATTGCTACCCTTGGGTCTCCTAGGGAGCTGGGGTTAGTGGCTTCAGGGCCAGTGAGTAAGTAGTCTGGATAACCACAAGAGGTTTGCAACTAGCCTGAAGCTCAGAGCGCAACCAGACCTGCCTCTCCCACCAGCGCCTCCTCCGGCCAGCACAGCGACATGGTGAGGTACCAGGGCCACTGACAGTTCTCTGGACACACCACAGGCACACTGCCCTGGGGCTGTCTGGTTTGTCCCCTCCCCACCCCCACCCTGACCCACTGTGCCAAGCCAGTCTAGGAGGGGCGGTGTGTGAGCCGTGGAGGGGCAGCCAGTCCCACTGCCTGGATTACCCAAGGGGACAGACATCCTTCCCTTCCCACCTACACAGGTGGGATTCACAAAGAGGGGGCTGAGACCAAAACACAAAGCCACAGCAGGCCTCACTACCTCACTACTACTGCCCACTCACATTTAAAGAGTCCCAACTATCACTCATCTCTGTGGTGACCAGAGCCGGCTTTCTCTCCAACCCTTGACCTTTGGCAAAACCTGTCCTGTCCTGAGAGAGGCTGAGTCCTGCTGAGCGTTATCACTGCCCATGTCTGAGTTCCTTCACCCTCTCGTGTTCCCATCACCTGTGCCCAGGCCTGAGGTAGCAGCTGTCCACTGCATGGTGTGTCCTGGGCTCTCTCATGAGGCCCAAGTCCCGTGACTTCCGGGTTACAGCTTTGAAGGCAGCTGTCCTTGTGTCTCAGAAGCCCCAGTTCTGGGCTCTGCATGTGGCAGACATTTAATACGAATCTGTTGGTCATTCTCCGATGTAAAATATGGGGAAAGAAAGCTGCCTTGAGATGAATAAGCAACAGTGACTTAACACTTGCCTTCAGAGCTCCACAGACATCTGCAGAGGACTCCGAATGCCTGATTAGCCTGTGTAGAGCATGTGAATCAGACACTGATTTCCTCTGAGGATCTTTCAGGGTGGCAACAGCCTTAACACTCACCACCCAGTCCTCAGGGGGTGCCAGCAAAGCTGGAGAAATCAAAGAGCATGTCTGCCAACACTGAGACGTTTTGGCGCTGTGACCTGACTCCAACCCAGGGCTGGGCCACCCACTGGCACCCCAGCCAAAAACATGACATAGCCATTGTTCTGATACCCACTAAGGTGCCCTTGCTGATCTTGGCTGCTGTGCCAGCTACAATATCACAGCAGTAATGGCCACAATTAACTAAGTGCTCCCCATGTGCCAAGCAAGTTACACACATCAGCATATACTGCCTGAGGAGGCCAGAGAGTCCAGGAGTTCCACAGTTTTTGGAAGACAACAGGCAGAAAAACAGTCCAATAAGCACAAAATGAGAGCCACCATGATAGGGGCATAAACCCGGGGCCAGCTTCATGACAACAGGATGGATCCTAACGAGGCTAGCCATGTTGTTTTGCACAAACTGCTTCGATCCCCTAAACCCTGCTTTAATCATCTCTAATACAGGGGTTAATAACACCGAAATCAAAGGGTTCTGTGAAGACTAAACACAACCATCTACACAAAGTACTTACCCTGGGATAAGTAAAAAGAAAATAAATGAGGGTTACACTCTTTCAGCCAACCACAAATGATTAGATTTTATGCACGGATTTAGAATATGACACCTCAATGTATTTCTTTTTCTCATACATACATTTCAAAATGCTTAACTATTACAAGTTTGGGGTCTCTAACCTGCACTGGATTCTTTAGTGGATGGTCACTAGAGTGACCATCTAATTTACTGCCTAAAACAGACACCTCTGGGAGTGGGGAAAAAGGAACAACTATCACATGGATTAACAATTGCATGGGATAAAAGGGTAAGCCAGATGTACCATATGAGCAAAATGGAATGGCTGATCACTCTGTTCGTCGTTCACAGACCTATTTCAGGGCCAAGGGCAGTAGCTATCACCATGCACCCTTTTTGGAGCTGCCAAAAATTTTGAGAACAGACCAACAGAGCTCCAACTTGGATGAGAGCCAGCAATGGTGCCACCCCGTTCAGAAGGCAGGGAAGTCAATGCACAGGAATGCTGCCCGCCACACACACACACACACACACACACACACACACACACACACACACACACACAGCTCCTCCCAAAATCTGAAGAAAAGTCAGACCTGGTCCTGGCACTTGGCACCGCACCTGTCATCATCCCTCACTTGCTCAACAGCAGCTGTCTTCTAGAAGACCCTACCCTCCTGGATGCTCTCCCTTACCTCAGGTGGCCCAAGCTGTAGAAGCGGGACTCGCCGTCAGTGGAGCGGACCACCTGCAGTGTGAACATGGGCTGCAGCTGTCGGAGCTCCAGCAGGACAATGGCCAGGTAATGGATGAAGAGGAGGGCGTCCACTAGCGAGACCGCGTATTGCACAATGCCCTGGTAATTTCGGTCCCGAGAGTCTAAAATGCGGACCCCGTAAAAAAGCCAATAGGAAACCACAAAAAGAAAGATGAGCACCAGCAAAAGGGCACGGAACACAAATACCCGCGGCACATCGGCTCGTTGCTTGCGGAAAAAGAGTGCCCAGGTCCCGATGAGCAGAATGAGGAGTTTGAATGCCACAGAGATAAACAGTCCCTCACAGATGGTGCCACAGGGCTCTAGCTCCTCCCTCCACAGGATGGGAGGCAACAGGATGAAGGCAATGGGCGTGAGGAACACTAGAAGGCCAAGGACCAAGGCGACAGTGAGACCCAGGTAACGCTTGCAGTCCAGTCCCACACTGTCCTCCAGGTCCTTGCTGATCCTGGCAATGTCCTCCTGTGAGATGCTGTGCTCTGAGGTGCCTGTGATGGCCGTGGTGGTCTCTCCCCAGTTGTCATCCTGATGGGGAGAAGACAATGAGGACAAAGAAACACAGGCAGCAGATTATTTGGAAAAGCCACAAAGCAAGCACTTGCAGACAGGAGACACAGAGGGCCACCTCACTGAACCTGAACCAACCCCCACACACGGGCTTCCTAGAAAATGGAAACTTAACTCTCAAACACAGAAAATGTTTTAACTAATACTTTTCATTGAAATTTTTCAAAATGTATCATATGTTTATCTTTAAAACAGAGAAAACATAATTTAACCTTGTGTGTGTGTGTGTGTGTTTGGGTGATTCATTACTATAATTCTGATTATCATCTGCTGTGTTGGAATCAATCCCCTGAGCCTGGAGGGGACTATCTGCCCTGCAATACACAACCCAACTGTTAGACAAACAGATGAAAGTTCACCTATGGCATAAAAAGAAATCCCTCCATGTTTTCTTCTCAATTCATGGCTGGGATATAAAGGTTTACAAAGTCCAGCTTCTGGAAGTGGGATGTCACTATGCCCTCCAGTAGCTCCAAAGAGCAAATGGCAGTGAGGGGATTTACAGGGCTATGTACAAGTCAAAGCTTACCTGCACACACACCTCCACAATGTTCTCAAAACCCGTTTAATAAGTGTCAGTGTCAAGCATGCCTTGATAATGTTTCTCATTGAACAAGCTAAGCAAATTCAAGTGTCTATGGCCAGGACAGCTCAAAAACTCCTCCCAAAACATACGTTCTCATGCCAAACTGAGTATCAAGGGCATAGAAATACCAGGATTACTATAATGTGTCTGTCTTTTACTTTCTTGCTTTCTTTGTCTGTTTAAACTTTGAGGGAGTTTCTAGTTGGAGCAATTTACTCTCTTCATTTAACAAGATCAATTTGTTAGGAATTTAAACTGTTTGCTATTTCACTGGCAGCTCTGACTCCATCCCAAAGCGACAACAGAGCAAGAAGGCAATGAAAAGCCACCTGGGGTTGAAAGAGGTTTTGCCTCAGAGTTTTGTGTATATGATTCAACTTAGGAAAAAAAACAGTCAGATATATAGGGGCAAATTGTGTGAAATTAATGTGTAAGACACCAACTCAGAAAAATCCAGCTCTGGTTAATAGCTGAATTGGCAAGACAGAGATCTCACAACAAAACAACCACCCCAAATCTAGTAACAATAAAAAAAACTATGACTTATGAAATGTACAGGCTATGGAGGGGAGTGCTGGTGATGGTAAAGGTGTTGAGCAAACTTCAATTTGGAAGTTACAAGTATCACATACCATGAGAAAAATGACTATAAGACAAAATTCAGAAGCAACCAAGGCTCAATCATTGCTGGTGGAAGTATAAAATGGTACAATCACTCTTGAAAACGAATCTGGCATTTTCATATAATTTCAAATATATACATAACTATATGGCCAGCAATTCCACTCCCAGGTTTTTATCCAAAATAAATGAAAACATATGTCCACAAAAAAGACTTGTAGAAGAATGTTCTTAACAGCTTCATAACAGCAAACAATGGTGCATCCCAAATGTCTGAACATCAAGAAAATTGATAACAAATTGTGGTATAGTCATACAATAGAACACTATTCAAAAATTAAAAAAAAAAAAATGAATTGCTGAAGCACACCAAAACATGGATCTCAAAGTCATGCTGAGAGAAAAAAAGTCCAAAAGAATATGATTGCAATTCTATTAAATTGTAAAACAGGCAACACTAATCTACAGTGATAGAAATCAAAACAGGACTGACCTTGGAGAAGTGGAGGTGAGGGACAGGGACTGACTGGGAAGAATATAAGAGAATTTTCTAGAGTAACAGAAATATATACATATATTGATAGGAGTGTGAGTTGTGAGTTTATTACTCAGTGGTTAAAACTTATTAAACTGCAGACTTTTGATATGTTTATTTCTTTGTGTCAATTTACTTCAATTTTTTGGAAAGAAAAAAACTCATCAGCAAAGGAAAAAATTGCCACAAATTCAAAGATGGCCACCTTGCTTTAATATAGTGTGAGTGGACCGGTTACATACAATAATTTGTTTTGTAACACTCTTTGTGAAGGCAATTACTGGACTCCATGTTTTGTATTGGCCCTAATAGTTGATAATCAATGTGGAAAAAATTACCACTAGTACCTTGTGGTCATTTTGTTGACTACCACACTGCTCTGATTTAGCTATTTACCCTTTTTTCCTGCCAAAGAGTTGCTAACACAATCCCTGTCCATATTAAGAATGTGGGCACACCTGTGCCTAAAAAAGGCAAGCAGTCCAAAGGGCCCTCTCAAGCCTGAGGTTCTCTAAGTCAGTGCCCTAGACTGTCAAGGAAGAAGCTGAGGCCCACAGAGGCTGTGACCACCCAAGGTGATAGCGCTACTGGGAAGGGAAGCCTCAGAATGTCTATTTAGTGCTTTGCCCAACACACCTCCCTGGTATAAACATCCAGTTTCCCAAGGTAGCTTTCCAGTGCCCTATAAGCTATAGAGAAGCTGCAAAGAAGAAATGCCTTCCGAGTGGGCCAGCAGCATCTCTGAATCCACATTAGGCAGAAACAGACTCCCAGCAGCACTTAAGGGGGTCCAATTTCAGGACTGGCCCCATCCATCCAACCATCCTCCTGGCCCTCCCAGAACCAGGAAGGCAGTGTAATGCTAAGCTCTGAAGACAGTTACTCATCCCTGGACAAACCCCATTCATCCCACAGCTGCAGCTTTGGGTTCCAAGAGCACCAAGCATGCTCCAAGAAATTCCAATTTCAGTCCTGATGCAATTATCTCCTGATAAATGCATATACCTGTGTCCCTACAGGAACACACAGATACATGCTCATCCACAGCCCTATATCTTTATAGCTATGGGTGCACATATCAGGTCATTTGGAGCCCAGGCTGGACATGCGTGTACTTCAAGAGCTGGGGAGGGTATGCAAACATGGTTCTGAGTGTAGCTCAGATGTTTATTTAAATCAGGTGGACTGCCAGACAGGACCCAGGGAGAAGAGCCCAACGCTTTTAAAAAAATAAACTGCCAATATTTAAAAATTGGGTGATTTCACATACAATTCTACTTTCCAGTTTTACTTATTAAACCCTGTAAGACCTAGGAACATTGAATTCTTGCATCTTGCATTCCTGAGCAGTGATGGAACATGGGGTACTGCGGAGCTGCTGTTCTCCTGACAGAGGAATGGCATTCTCCAGTGTGCCACAGCCCCCATCACTCCATGCTACAGCCCTCACACTGATGTCTGCACAGATCGCTATTTAACCACAACCTTGCCTGATAGAGCTTTGCCCTTCCTGGTGATCCAGAGCCCAGTTAGTGACCCATGTTTCCTCCTAGGCATCTAAGCATGCCACTGCCAGTTAACATCATGTATCTTGTAGTGGAGCTCAGTCTGGGCTGCCCTAACCTCTTTGTTCTTCTACGCAACACCACTCAGGGTTTCTGCAAAGGGAATGCCTTCCCTCTCTTACACTGTTCCACTTTGAAACGAGTCTCCAGAGACTGCAGCCTATAATTTTTCCCTTTTCGGCCCTGTCATCAGCCTTGCTGGCTTCCTTTCAACACCATTCAAAGCAGGCCAACCAATCACACGGCAGAAGGGCACCCATGCTAGCCAATGGCAGCACAGACTGCCCTTAGACCAACAAGAAACCACGGGACATAGATAAACTAATTAACATGCTAGAAAAATAAAGATAAAAACCCAAGAGAACCTACTGCAGCAAGACTTAGAAAAACATTACTGAAAAGAGTCTTAATCAAGCAGTAGCGTGCTGACAGACTGCCTTTGATCCTTACCTGAACTTCCTCTGTCCGAGTAGAATCATTAGCCAACAGGGGCTCTCCAGTAGGAGCTTGAATGGTGACAGATTTTTCTGACCCTCTGCCATCTTTATTCCGGGGTGATTTGTGTCTCTCTCTATTTCTTTCCCTGAAAAGTAAAAATGATAATCAGCTAGCATATTCATGCGATGTTAATTAACTTTCCTCAAAATATATTAAAAATTTCATTTTGAATGTAGGAAAACTCTACACATGCACGCACGCACACATGCGGTGCCAATGCCCAGACATCACCACCCAACCCCTGCAAGGGGTAAGCTGATTTCTATTCCCTACTTAGTATTCTCTTTCTGCCACGCCAAGATCCAAAATGAAGACTGTTACTCCTCTATCAAAAGGAATCACATTTTTTCAAAGCCAAAAATTGTGAATTTTAGAATCTCTGTTGGTTAAGGCACATTTTACTATAAAATTACAGACTTGATTTGCTTATAATTTGCCTACACTTATTTTCTAGGACCTTTTTTATGGGGAAGATGCTGTAAAATATTTAAGTTTTGGTTTGTACAGAAAAATCTGGGACACACTGTTGTCATCCTACATCTTTGGACAAGAAAAGAATGGTAATTCTAAACCAGGGTAGAGATTCATTTACTTCTCATTCCTACAAATTCATTCCCATAGGTTCTAGCTGAACTCAAAGACACTACAGAAACAAACAAAAGTGAGAAAGAATGACACCAAGAAGTGCATGTGTGTGTTACAGGCCTCCTAAGGAAAGCAGGCTGCTGCATCATTTTACCCCAGATGAGCTTCCCGGGTGGTCTTCCAGGGAGATTGTGACAGCACCATGCTGTGGGTCAATATTGAAATTACGAAAGGAGCCCATCAGTGTGCAAAGCTCAGAGGTCACAACCTGGGCATTAACCCCCTATGGATATGGAGACGGGCACTCCACCCCAACTGTGAACAGTAAGTCCAGGGGCCCCTACTAGAGGAGCCCCACATCCCCTGTCCCACAGGACACCTTGACAGCAGCCTCCTTCCTTCAAACACTTGCTCTCCTAAGGTCTCCCAGGCAGGACAGAAGGCCTGCACCCACTGACTTTGAGGGCAAATAGTCAGATCTCAATTCTGTACCTACTAGACATGTGACCTTGCACAAGTTATCCAATCTCTGAAAACCTTAGTTTTCTCATCTGTGAAATGGGAATAATGGCATTACCTCACAGATAATGCATGTAGAGTTCAGTACAGGGGTGTGAAGTAAGGGCTAATCCACAGTGGCTATTACTGCTATTACCATCAGCCAAGCCTACAAGATGACGGCTTGCCTTGTGAGGCAGAGAGTGTATACCCCAGAGAAAGAGATGGAAAAGGAACTACTAACATACAACCTGATTTCTTCCACATCTCCAGTCACAACTGGACTGTTAACCTACTACTTAGCTGACAAAACCACATGCAGACTTCCTGTGGTCAAACTTATCAATACCTCCCCAGGATACGCATTGGTTGATTCCTTCAAACAGCACAGGGGCTTCCACATCCCCGAGACTCTCTCAGTGATAGCATCTCTGTATCTAGGGCTTAACTTATCAAATCTATTGTTAAGTTAGACTTTAGAAATAGAGGAGTTCTGGACAACCCAGGTATTTTATTTTACCTGGGCAAGTAGAGAAATAGCCAAGAGAATTTGTTTGTTTACCCAGAGACGTATCTGTCAATGCTAATCACTCCACTCCCCACCCCAATCTACAGACCACTTTACAAAGGGCTTTATTATATTAATTTCATTTCATCCCAACACTAACCTATGAGGCCAGCATTACTGTCCCCATTTTACAGATGGGGAACTGAACCTCACAGAAGTTAAGAGACTTCCCGAAGTCACAGGAAGTGGCAGAGCGGAATCTAAACCCAGGCCTGCTCCTACCGCTATTCATGCCTGCTGTGCTGCACTGATCTGAAGGGCAACCAGAAGATTTTGCAGTATAAATACCCCACTCATCCTCATACCCTTTAATTGATGCAGTACTACAACTGCAAAATATGCCTTTGAAGCTACTGCAAGGAGTCACAACTGGAGTGTGACCCCGGAAAGCACAAAGCAGGGTGCCCAGCACTCAGGGTTGCCAAAGACAATCACTTCAAAAGGACTGACTGTGAGAAACAACAAACAATGGGGGAGGGCTTTCCCACAAGCCTGGGCAGTCTTCAGAATGAACCGTTTAGATCAAGTCTAGAACTGCTCCCCAGGGCCCCACCTCCTCTTCTGTCTTACTGTTGCCACTTTCCCTAACTGCTCTGGCATCTCTTGCTCTCCCTGACATCACCAAGTCACGTGCTCCCTGAACCATTTATCTATTCACCAGTCCCATGGGTCAAATCCTGTGACAGCACAAAAATTCCACAGGAAATAAAAATTCTTTCACTGAGTGCTAACACTACAATGGCAGAAAACAGGTGGGGAGCCATGTGGGGCTGGAAACAGCCTCTCTAGGGCCAGCCATCCCTCCAACCTCTGACCCACTCAGCCTGGCTCTCAGAAACCCCAACAGCACCCGAAGGAGAGCAGACAGCCTAACAACTTCCCTGGTAGCATCTGAGAAAAAACAGAGAAGAGCCTGTTATTTGACAACGCCAGGAAGCTTTCTTGTCTCTCAGAGCCAGAGACCCTAAACTGATGCATCTCAGGCCTGAGTATGCAAACCACCTGGGGTGTGGATCTGAGTATACATTCACTGGCCCCACCACCAGAGAATTCTTCTGGAAGGGAGACAACAGGAATCTGCATTTCTCACCAGCACCTGTGGTGTTCGGATGCAAACAGCTCAGGACACTTTCCCCAAGGCTCTCCCACCTGGATGCTCCTGAGGGCATGGGGGGTTGTGGAGTGATGGCTGGAAGTCAGCCTGCTCGTGAAATGCCAGTATACTGTAGGGGCTCAATAACAGGAGCCATGAGTGAAATGCTGTGTTGTACAATGTTGCAGTGTCCAGTGGTTTCCTTATTAAAATAGCATTAAGTGGACAAGGTGAGGAGAAAGTCTCAGGGCCATATGCATCAGGACAGAAAGACAGAGGGATGCCGAGAGCCTTCCATACACTGTCAAGTGAGGGGTGAATGCAAAGCTCATCCTGTCAACTCAATGTGGGCTGTGTGTTATTCTGATCCTTGATGTCAAGGGAGCAAGTCCTATCATAAAGCTTTTATAAAAATCACTGGTCCTGAATTACTGCTCAGGAAGGTCTCTAAGCCAGCACTAAATAGAGAGCCCAGCAAAAACACCACTATTCTGTGCTTCCCAGTTTGCAGAGTTACAAGCCACCGTACGATCGTTTTACCGAACAGGTACCTAATGTTCATCTCTACAGCTCCAAAGGCTGTTAACTCCAATGGAGTGCTAAGTATCCTCCAGGTGAGGGCTCCCCAATGGAGAGGGCAATCAGTTCCTGGTGTCTAAGAGTATGGAAACAGGACATGAGGGGAGTAAGGCTACCAAACCTCTCAGTGGTACATGCACGCTTGGTTGTCTTTTCAACTTGGCCTACGTAGTCTGGATCTCCTGTGTGCCTCTGCTTGGCAGGTGTGTTAGCCACAAGAATTTCTGTTTCTTTATCTCTGAATCTGTCTCCATTCAACATCTGCCAGTGTGAATAAAGGTAAGTATGTTCCTGCGTGCATATGTGTGCACACGCATGCGCATGAGAGAGGGGTGGGAAGAACAAGCAACAGCACATAGGAGGCCAGGCACACATCTGTACGTGTGTGTGTACATGCATCTATTTTGGCGACTCTGAAGCTAAGCTGTGTGTGTGTGTGTGTGTGTGTGTACATGCATCTATTTTGGCGACTCTGAAGCTAAGCCCTTGCGGGCCTCTGTAAACCTCTTCTCATCCAGCCAGAATCCCCATCCATTCCCACACAGTCCCACTTACAGCCGGCCATTTCCTGGGAAGATTATTTAGCTGTTTCTGTTGTTTGTGTATTTCTATTTGGGGAAAGCCGGCCCCACCAATTACTCTGCCCTTTCCTTCTCTACCACCACCCACTAACTGGCCTTGCACTCTGCTGACTGCCAGGGCCTGGCCGCTGCTTCCTCTCGGCACTGACCTGGATGGGAAGGCCCGGCACAGGGCACAATGACTGACGCAGCCTGGGAAAAAAAGCAGACGCCCTCACCGCTCAGGCAGCCCTCTTTTGGACAATGAACTTTGGCACAATAGTCATGTGAATTACCATCCCTTTCCCGTTTTCCCCTCCCACTTACCCAGCTGCTCCCCATCCAGCACAGTCCAGGGGAAAAGAGTGGGCTTGCAGAGGACCAACAAATCCGGCCTGAAACCTGCTGAGGTACCTACCAACCTTAGAGCTTCAGGAAAATAATGTTGGCTCCCTGCACCCCAGTTTGCTCACCTGTTGAGTGGGGTACCACCTCCCACCGTTCCAGGACTGCTGGGAGGTCATGCTGCTAGGATCCTAGCAGGTACTCTAGAGGTGGTCATTATCTTCACTGGCAGCTGCTGTATTTAATGCAGGGAGCTAGTACTCAAAGCCCAGTGGTTAAGCAAGGTCAGCTAAGTCCGCATCATTTTCCTAGCATATTAACTGGACACTCTCTGGAGACAGCAGAATCGCAAAATGAGACCACTAGATTCTTTGTTAGAAAAGAGTTGTTTGTCATCTGCTTGGAACCCAGTCAGTTCTCCAAAGATGACCATGGTGTTATCAGGCATATCAAGTTTGCTGCACTTCATTATTCCTGAGATAGAGCTCTACTAAAATTACCAAAAAGCAAGGTCCCTCCCCTTTCCTACTCTTCCAAATTCCTGACAAACACCTGAGCAGAGCAGCCTTCACAGGGACACTCCTAGGTGACACAATACTCTTGGCTGGGTCTGGGGCCTGCTCACATGCCAGCAGAGGGGCACAATTACCCGATCAATACTCTTTCCACCTTGACACATACTCTCTATGGATTACAACCTTTGCCCCAGTTACTATGCTCTACAGGGCTCTTGTTCAGAGAATTCACCACATGTGGGGGGTGTTTTTTCCTAAAGAACCCATGGAGTGTACCTATAACTCTCTCATGGTCATCCCTGCATCCAGAGCTCTTCTGAGTAGGCATTCAGTCATGTTCTTTGATTAATTTATTGAAAGTCTCAGCTTATAATATAATTTGCCAAGTACTTTCCACATGGGTCCAAGACAGCACTAAGAGTTTGCAGTCTGTTTCATTAGAAAGTCATAGTCTCTTAACATCACCACCTGATCCCTGCAGGATCAGTTTCTGGGGGCCCCAAGAGGAAAGAGCAGAGCACAGCGTGGGCCCTCAGGCATGGCAGTCAGGACTCAAGAGTAGACAGAGACGGCCAGAGCTGGGGCCTAGTCAGAACACCACACAGCTTCCCCTTCTAGTCATCTCCAAGCACCAAGGGAGCCCCTAATTCCCACTTACACCATGGTGGTGTGCAAAGGGGAAACCTGGCACGTCCCCAAGAGAATTACTTTTTCCAGATAGGTCCAAAGATGTGGTATTTTAAGACAGCTGTTTCTGGTATTTTGTAACCTAGCTGATACATTTCCCCACTGGTTGAAATTTGTGATCAGGTCTTCATCCCCAGAGGGTTTCCAACTTTCTCAGGATCTGGGTGCTGGTGGGTCACATCAGGCCTCACTCAGCAGCTTTCCTATTTACCATGCTGACTAGGAAAGGCTGACTTGGGTTCCCACACAAGCTCATTCACATCTTTTCCCCAAATTTTATGATATTAAGAGCAATACATAAAAATATAGAAAATAATTAAGGTTTAAAAAAATCCACTCATAATCCTAATAATCCTCTACTCAGAGACAAGTAAAATCAATGTTAACATTCATCTTATCAGAGATTATATAACATATAATGTTTTGAATCTTGTTTCTGATAAAATGGCCTCATGAACATTTTCTCATGTCATTAAACAATCTTCAAAAACCTTTCTTGTACACTTTTATTCCATTTGTATTTTAATTACAAAATACATGCTTATAAAGACTTAATGAGTACAGATGAAGTGTAAATGAAAGCTCCTGTCAATCACTATTTTGCATCCAGCCCTTCCCTGTGGATGACCACCCCTAGCAGTTCGGAGAGTGTCCCTCCATACCTCTTTCTGTGTGTATGAACCCATATGTCTTTCAAACAAATACGTCAACTAGATATGCATGTCTTATTGCTGTTTTACAAAACAAAAATCCCACGCTGCACTCAACTGCTTGTAAAAGGGACCCTGGGTCACGGCAACACCATTACAATCACCATTCCTAGCTCACAAAGGGCTGGGACCACCTGTGGGCCTTTGGGCTGTGGCCAGTTGGGGTCTTTGAAATGCCACGGCTGTTAATATAGCCACTGGTGAGTGACCTCCTGCTATGTGCTGTTTTAAATGCTTTTCATCATAATCTTACCCGATCCTCTCAACAGCCCTGTAAGGAGGACATTGTTCTACCCATTTCACAGATGAGGAGTCTCAGGCAGCACTGCACTCTGACCACCTGCGTTCCTCACCAGAAGGAACCCCTCTTCATGCTTTCATGCCCTTGTTCCCTTACTCACCAAGCCCCGGACAGGCCTGTGATACAGCAGCTCTAGGAATACCAATGCAAACCTGTTCATCCTGCACAGAGGAGGGAGAATTGGGCCCCCATCACCCAGGACGGCGTTTTCAAAACCAAGGTTTGTTCACTGGGAAAACCAGTCAGAGAGAAATAAGGCACCAGGCCAATCCTCCCACCACTTCAGCATATAAGCCTCACGGCAAATGCATAATGGTCAGTGAGTCAGCAGCTTTGGGTGAAAAGCAACAAATGAACACTTCTTTAAAATTTTCACTTACATTCTTGGTAAAGCTTTGGAAAACTGTCCTCTATGAGAAGTACTTAGAAGTGAAAAACATTTCCACTGCAGTGAGAAAGTTTAATTTAAAATCAATTGTGAGAAATTAAGGTCATCAGCTGTAATGGCAGCTATAAAATGTAAATTGGTGGTATAGTCACTCCCAACGCATGTTAAATGCTCTTAAAGCTCAGCTTCTCACGAAGGGGTGGACTGAACCTCCAGCATCAGCGCTGCAGCCGGGCGTCACTGTTTCAAAAGTGTGTCTGGAAAACCCTGCCAACCTGCAAGTTTCCCCAGGATGAACAGTAGAACAACCAACAGCTTACATACCCTTGTCTGTGAGATTTTTTCGAATGACTTGAATAGTAAGAATATCCAGAATATGTGGATTCGGTATCCATAGCAATGGAGGGCTTGCTCTTGATGAGGAGCAGGTATTGTTTCTCCTTAGAGATGGAGAATTTCACCTACTAGACTCCTAAAACCTCAATGGGTCTGGGAACCAAGGTGCCACTCTTCAACAGGAACAAATTCTGGGAAAAGGGAAAAAAAAAAGAATCAAACTTCAAATCCAACCTAAAGAGGCTGGAAGATAGATGAGAGCGGTCATCCCACCTTTGGGGTCTCTATTATGAACAAGTGAGCAAGAGCGGTGTCTAAATGCTGAATGCCCCACACATGCAGCCCACAAGCTTCCCCAGGTGTGGGGCCAGCAAGCTGAGCCCCTAGCACAGCAGCGGGAAAACCAGAGGTGGGAGAGACCTGGCCCGGGCCATTTCTGGGACACAGCTGCACTGCACAGGTTCGGGAGGGAGGAAGTGCCCTAGACACCATGCCCAGCCTCCGCTGCCAGTTTGCTTGTTGCAAAAACAATGCCCAGGGAAGTAGCTTTTAAGGGATTTGCTCATAGTTTCCAAAAGCCAATTTTAAAGAGAGAAGTTCCAAGCTCTTTAAACCAGGAATCCAAACTCCTGAGAATTTATCTATTTAAGAAAAACTATTATTACTACATTGCCTAAACAGGGTAAAGCTAGAAACAATATGAATACCCAAAAAGCAGAGGAACAGATAGGGAAAACATGGTTCATCCACCCAAAGAACTATCAAACAGTTATTTAAGATGACAATTATGAAGAATGGCAATTTTTATGACATGGTAAATTTAAAAAGCAGGCAACAGGATGGTAGATACACACTGGCTCTACATCATAGCTATACTCAGATAAAGTTGCTTTCACTAGGATAAGGATTAAGAGCGAACATCAGAAAACGAAAGCAGGTGATTTATTAGTTGCAGGCTCCTGGGTCTTTTCCCACATTTTCATCAGATATTGCCTCGCAATAAAAATAAACTGGAAACATTTCCAAGTACGTTCCTGAGCCCCACAGGCTAAACCTTTACTTCTAGAAAACTAAGAACCACAAGTTCTATCTCTCCCAGCACCTCTCACCCCAGTGCTGGTCTCCACCCAACAGGCCTCTCCTCCTTCCAGGGCCCCTGGAAGCTGAAACAGCAAACAGAGCCGGTGAGATAAGTGTGAAAAAAAAACAAAGGAGCTGCAAATACCATCCCATCCCCCTACTGGGAGGAGGCCAGGCTCCCTGACCCCAGCAACAACCTGCAAGTCTGGAAGAAACTGCCTGCGAACCACCACACACCAACACAGCCCCCAGGCCTCAAATACCACTTAGGATGCCTTCTGCCTGGAAGTGAGGTAGTTCACTTGCAGGTTTATGACACAGGGAACTGGCCTCCCTTGTCCTGGAGGTCATGACCCATCATTTCCTTTCTCCTCTGCCATCAAAAGCCCAAGAAGAGCAGTGGGGAGACCTGGGTTCTAGCTGAAGTACCTCACTGTCTAGTACGAGCTGAGGTAAGTCACTTGCCTTCCTGAGCCTCGGTTTCCTCATTTGTCAAACAGGGATAAATCAACAGCCACTGTCCTCACAAGGTCAGTCTGAAGACGTAAGCAGATGTGGTATTCAGCGTGGGGTTCCAGTCCCAGGCTTTACTCACTTATTAGCTATGTGTCACATTATTAAACTCTCTGAACCCGTATCTATAAAATGTGGTAACAGGGCAATACGCTGCAACCACGATGGTGCCTAGCACCAGCTCCGGGTGCACTGGATCCATGAGAGTTGTGGCTCTCAGCACCCCTGTCCCAGGCCCACTAACTAGCTGTGTGCCCCAGTGAGGCAGTCTTCCCATCTGTAACAGAAATAAGGCCACCTATTTTGTGGAGTGACCATAGGATTAAATGTGAAAATAGATGTAGTGGGCATTTAAAAAACCATGTTAGTTTGCTCTTGGACCACCTCCATGTCCCTGGATTTCAAGAGCAGCCTAGAAGTTTTCACGAGCAATTTCAGAGAGCTTTCAGCACCTTTGATTCTCACTTCCTTTATGCTCTGGGCTTTGCTGCTTGTTCATCTGCTTCATACCTGGCAGACACCAACATCAGGAGGTCAGCCAAAACCTCTGGGCCTGCCCTGCATGAGCCTCTTTCCCTGAAGGCCCTTCACCCAGCTCTCTGCTGACCTGCCGGTTCTCATGCCTGGCTGTATCACCTAGAAGCCTGACTCTTCTACGTTCAGAATTAGCCACCCACAGCTTCTACACCTTTTTCTGCCTTCCAACCCATAACTCTTGATTCCCTTCCCCATCCCAACTTCTGGCTGATTCTGGCTAAAAATCACTGGGGTGTCTCCAAGGCAGATGACCCAGACCCACCGACCTGGGCTGATACTATTCATGCTTCCTGGCTGTGATACTGTGGGGCAAATGCCTACCTCTCTGAGCTTGTTTCTCTCCCTGTAAAATGAGGCCATTTAATATGACCTCTTTCTACGGCTGTTGTGAGCATAAAACAAGACTCCCTGCATGAAGCCTATGGCATAGGGTAACCCCAGTTTCACACCCCTTTCCCCCTCCGCAAGAGGACGTCATTCTTTGTCCTCATTAAAACCTCTGGTAATCCATTAAAGCAATTCCGGGCATGTCCCTCAAAGGCAATCATGAGCTCCCAAGTGCACTTTGGGAAAGCTGTACCTAACACTACCAGCTGCTCTGTCTGGTTTCTCTCTCATAATTCCGGCCCATGTCATCAAAGGGGTGGTCTGCACATGCTGCCTGCCACTCCCACCCCTCGATTGTCACCCCAACCCCCCACCCTCAACACACCCTGAAACAGCTATGAACCAAATCCAAAGGTCACATCCTTGTCCTCTTTCCCCTAGACCTTCTTATTCTATTGACTCACGCATCCACCTCTAGGCGTAGTAAGCAGCTATGAGAGGCCCTGCCAAGCCATCCTAGGAACAGCAATGACCATGACCCACAGCATGCTGCCCGCTCTCGCTTGGCCCTTGGCAGCTGGCATCCTTGTGGGAGGTGGCCGCGGCTACTGCTCCTGCCCCACGCCTTCCCCACTCCCCCATCAAGTTATCCCTGCAGACTCAAAACTCGCCTGTTACTCTTCCCCCTCCTTGGATTTTACTCTAGTGTTAAGCTCCCTGAAGACAGGAATTACTGTTACCTACCCCCAGGGTACACTGAGCATCCTAGGTACCCAGCAAATACTGAAAGAATAAACCCAGGACACACCTCCTACTCAGATGCCTCTTGCTCCTCTTGGGATTAACATCACCACCACAACTGCTCTCCGTCCTGGTCTGCCCACTTTTCTCTGCCAAGGGGAGACAATCATTCTATGATCCCAGAGATCCAATCCCGTGCCGTTCTCAAAGCTCTCTCTCCCCTTCACCCCACACACCTAGCATCACCATGTGCCCTCTGTCCCCCTCGCACTCCCGGCTCCTGCACACTCCATGGACACAGGGCTAACCTATCCCAAAGCCTGCAGCTGAGCTCATGGGTCCATCTAAAGAGGGCTCACACCCCTCCTCTGAGTCACACTGTTTCTTTCATACTATCAACTCCCGTCTGTCATCTGAGTGAGGACTAAGAAGCAGGGACTGGAGGCAAACTAACAAAACCCAAAAATGAATTTATTTAAAAGCCCATGCATGAGCTTTGCTATAGGTAGCAGAAAATCACATACTGACGCTATCACTGCAATGATGTATTTATGAGCTAGTTCCCGTGTATGCACAAGAAATTAGCAGAATGCAGATAAGGTCAGAGGGACCCCTTATCAGCAAGAGAATTAAGAAAGGAAAAGGCATCAGGTTCCCAGGATCATAAACTGTTAGCTGCTGCACTGCCTGAAGGAGAAAGAGTCATATAAAGGTGTAAATACAGACTCTGGAATCTGGGACTGTCCCTCTCTCACCCTCTATCATCCTGACCCCTGCCATGACCCATACTGTGCCTGGCTCCTGCTGGGCAGCAGCCAGAGTGATCTTTCAAGTCACAGTGTGGATGTCACTTCCCTGTCACACCCTTCCATAGTGTCCCATTGCACTCTGAATAAAATACAAACTCTTCCATTTGGTCTACAAGGCCCTGCCCACCTCCCCAGCTTCATTCTCCTCCTCTAGTTCCAGGTCCTCTGAGGACCAGGCTCTCTACGGCCTCAGGGCCTTGGCAGAACCCAGTATATCTGCTATCTCACTCTTTACACACCTCATTCTGGGCAATTTCTACTCATCCCTCTCAGCTTAAATACTGTTTCTTTAAGAGGCCTTTCATGAGCCTCCAATCTATGTCAGGCCCCTTCACAGGACCTTGTACTTTTCCTTTATATCATAATTTCCACTTATGGATCAGTGTGATTAGTGTCTGGCTCTGTATAGACAGTAAGCTCCATGAGGTTAGGTAACTTCTTCCATTACTACCTTCCCCAGTTCCTAGTACATACCAGGCACTCAATAAATCTGTGCTGAATGAATGAAGGGTTTTAAGGCAGATCTCAGGACGTGGAGGCCACAGATTTACCATGGAAGAAACCTTAGAGATTTTCTATTTTAAATTCTCAGCTTTGTAAGTTTGTAGGAGAGGAAAACAGTAAGCGATTAGATTCAGCAGTGGCATCAGATTACCAAGAGTGGTGCTGACCTGTTCCTCACTTAGCAGCGAAGTTTATGTTACAGACACACTTGAGTAAAAATAAGCAGCAGTTTCTTTCAGCCACTCCCCCTGCCCTCCTGTCATCTGTCCCTTAGTACCTACAGGTACTGCTTGGGTGAGAGTTGGATGCAAATACCAGGATAGAGATGAAGCTGTTAAAGCATCGCATGAAGGCCAGGAGGGCAGAGTGGAGACAGATGTACAGGGCACTTTTAACTGAGTGACAGCATCTTAAATTCTGGAATTCTCAAGCAAAAACGTCAGAGAGAGGCTCCTTCATTATGCTTTATTAAAAGCAAAGTAAAGATTAGTAGCCTCCAAAAGAGCCTTCCCTTAACATGTTCACTCTCATAAAATATACCTACCACTTAAAAGAAAAAGTGTTCAGAAAATCGTATGAGGGAAATAATGTTATGGTAATGACAGTGGTAAACATAAGTTAACCTTCATGAAAAGGAAGTTAGAAAAACACCAACAGCTCTGCCTAGAGCTATTAAGTAATTAAGGGAAGTCTGGTTTAAAGGGTAGAAAGCTATCTTGCAAGGGCACAAAGACACACACTGAACTTCAAGAACCATTCTGCCCCTTCTAGGTTGGATGTATTTTCACGGGAAGAAGTTTCCAGTGAAACTGAATTGTGGTTACATATAGTGTGTGCATTTTTTTACTTTGAATATTTGATTTTTATCATATATATAATTCTAAAGGGTTTACTTCACTAATTAGTAGTTTTATTTTTTGAATAAAGGCACCCATTTTTAACTGTACGGCACTTAAAGGGAAAATGACAACCTAAATAATTTTGTTTAGAATCAGCTTTTCTTCTACAGAGGGGAAGCAATGAGCACAGTTGCTAGACTTAGACTATCACAGTTCAAATCCTGGCTCTAGTGCTTATCAGGTATGTGACTTCGTATCAAGTTTCTTAACTTTTCTGTGTCTATTTCTCTAAACTAAAACAACAGAAAGCTCTATTTTACTTACCTTACATGCTTTTGGTGGGTATTAAATGAGATAATTTACAATCATTTAAAATAGTGCCTAGCACATGGTAAGCACTCACAACTATTAGACATTATTACTATTCAGTAATGTGAAATTTCTTCAGTTGGGCAGAAAACCATTGCATGGCACATGACTTACGTATCATTTTCACTGACCTTGTGTACATTTTTCGGTCTATGGTTGTACACCTTTAATGAATACCATTAATTGTAGCTAAGTAGTTTGGTGATTTTCATTCTGTTACCTGCAGGCCTCCTTTTACTGTTTCCAGGTTGGAGTATCAGATCAGAGGAAACTGTTTTATTGGGTTTATTTGGAGGACCTTGGGTTGTAAGGGAGGTTGGGGAGAAGTATGCAAGCTCTGCAAAACATTTTGCTGGACTTGGGGTCTATAAATCATAAAATATCATCCAGGTCACTGATTGTAGGGATCAGAGAGGGCTTTGGGGCAAAACCCACTGATTCTTTCATTACAACAGAGCTCTTATAAATAAATGTTTCCAGGCCATTATTTACAAGGAAAGAAAATGTCAGCCTCAATCTACCTGTTTTGCCAATAATTTCAACTCCTCTTCCCAGAATAACTGCTTTTGGCTTGGGTCACTAACTACCCCTCAAACACTCCCAGCAGCTGGGTATAGATTTCTGAAGAGCCGTGAATGGTGGACGTATCTGGGGTTCTAAAACGTGTATTTGTTTTCAAGTGACTCTGTTGTCCCCAGTTAGATTTTTAAGTATCGGAAAAACATATAACATGAATACCACCTCCTCTGTAAATCCCAAGGCACTGGGTCCAATGAATGCTGTCCAGTAAGTGGGATTCGGAAGGACACTGATAGAGACAGATAGGTAGGCACCTTTCTATCAGGCGTCAGGCGAGACCAAAGCCACTAGTAGAAACATGGTTCACCAAGTCCACCTAATCTGATCTTATCAACCTTCTGGAAAATGGCATTGCATGATGCCTAAGTCACAGGCCCACACACAGCTCATCCTGTGGTTAGGAACCACAGCTAGTTCACTTTAGGGAGAGAGACTGGCAATAATAATCTAACAGCTTACAGTTAAATAGGGTGCTTACTATGTATCAGGGACTGTTTTAGGTCATTTATGTGTTATCTCATTTAATCCTCAGAACAAGTCTTATAAAGGGGCTAAAATTGTAATTTCACATCACAGTTAAGGAAACCAAGGTCACATACCTGCTAAGTGCTGGGGCCAGGGCTTGAACTCTGAGGGTGTAATTTCAGAACCTACACTTTTAGCTATGGAAAATGTACAGCAGTGTAGCAATTACCAGAATTATTTATTTACACATTGTAAGGTGGGCAGCAATCATAAATTGTCCCAAACCACTCATAACCCACAAAGAATTCTGCAATTTCAACTCCCACTCACAGGTTCAGTACCCCCAAGTATTGAGGGGAACCCAGGAGGAAAGAAATGCATTTGAGATAGTTCTAACTCCCAAGGGGGTCACAGCCCGAAGGTGGAAACTGCCTATTAAAATGCAACGTTGATAGTGCGCCCATGTAATTTGAAAACTGCTGAGATCCAGGGTAACAAACAGGGTGTGTGTTTGTATGTGTTAGAGAATGGAGAGGTCTATACCTTCCTCACTCAACGCATATTATTCTTCAATAGACCAGGTTGGCATAGACTTGTCACCTGATAAGGAAACTATCATTTATGGTTTTGTTCTGTTGCTTAAATACATATGACAATAAAAATGAACTGCCTGGCAAGCAGGCCTGACAAATATACCAATCTCCAGATTCTTCTCCCATTTTACTTACAAATTAAGTCACAACCAGGTCACACTGCCAACACCATAACTGTGAAAACTTCACACTAGATGTTTCACTAATTATACTGTGAGACACCAGATTTGGGGAATGCTAAATGTTCGTGCATAGGTGAAGAGCGTTACTTCTTTCAACTGTTGAATAAAACAGTTTCCTCCCACAAATCAAAGCCCCAACTATATCACACTGATTTCATTCAATTCTAAAACTCTAATTAGTGGTTACATAAAATGACTAATTACTTCTCACCGGATCCAGACAGTTTCTGCCTTCTCACTTAAAGAGCCAGCGGAGGAGCTGTGTGATCAAACAACCCACCCCCTGGAAGGAGAATGCTAATTAGCACTGTTGATTGGTGACACCAGTTATAATATTTTCCAGCAACCCTTTAAAATGTAAAAACATATCAGCGAAAATGCCAGAATCTTTGCAGCTTGCTAGCTTTTGGAATAAATGTCTAAAAATATGTGCATTTCCAAACACAGCCACGACAAAAAGGTTTAAAAAATGCACGTGCCAGCCACACAATCATCATAACAAGGCGCTCCAACATCTCTTAACGAGCAGCTAAACGAGCTCCCAACACCTTCTCGGCGTGGCTATTACACCTGGTTGGAAGATGTGAAAACTGAGGAAGAGATTTCTCGGCTGGCTCCAAGTCTCAGTAAGTAGCTCATCTCCTGGCCGCCAGGCCACGGCTCCGCCCCACTCCAGCCTCCACCGCCGACGCGTTTAAATTTTTATAAAGCTTCACACTTCTCTGGGAGCGTTGCTTGGAGCAGTTCAAAGACTTCAGGAGGAAATGAAGTCCTGCCCGTGGCGAAGGCTGCCCCGGCGCGGTCAGATTTCCTCCAACTGGACACCTTGGGCAGAGACTTGCCGGACGCCTTCTGCTCCACCCCGGCGTTTTTGAAAGTAAACTCTTACCTGCCTGTTGCGCTCTCCGAAGCGCCACCGGCCTCGCCCCCGCCCCGCGCCCCAGGCCTCCAGGGCCGGCTCAATTTTGTCAGCGAGGTGTGAGCACAGGCCAGTTCCGTGCCGGTCTCTGGCCCAGGGCCGGGCGGCCGCCGGGTGCTGGCGGTTACCGGGGCCGGTCCCGAGAGGAGACGGGACCACCGTGTGCGCTCGGCCCCGGGAGCGGGGACTGCCCGGCCCGGACGGCGGATACGGACGCCCGGGTGCCTCCGAGAACGCCTGGCAACTCCCTGCCGGCCGGCCAGAACGCGCACCCCGAGGGGCGCACCCCAAAGTGCAGCCAGGGGAGAAGTGGGCGTCCGAGGCGTGGGGACGGAACGCCGGGCCCCGAGGACTTGGGCTGCGGCGGCCAGCGCCGGGCAGGGGCCGGAGGGGCGCACCGCGCAGGAGGGGGAGCGGAGGAGAGCCGGGGAAGCGCGACTCTGGGCGCGGTCCGTAGGAAGGCGGCGAGGCGGGTCTGAGCCCGGGGGTGCGGGAGGAGGGCGCGGGGCCCGGGGGGGCGTCTCCCCGCCCGAGGTCTGCCCCTGCTCCTGTCGCGCCCGGCCTCTGCCGGCACTCACCTCCGCGCCGGCCGTGCGTACTTCGCGGCCCGCGGTCTCGGCTCACAGCGGCCCCGGTTCTGCGGCCTGCGCTGGGCTCCCGTACAGGCAGAGCCCCGCCGCCGCCGCGCTGCTGCTTTCCGCTTCCTGTCCCGGCGCCGCCCCGCAGCCCGAGCCCAGCCCTGCGAGCCCGGCGCGGCCGCGAGCCAAGAGCAGCGAGCGCAGCCGGCCCAACCGCGGGCCCGGCCCACCTGCAGCGGAGGGCGGGGCCTGGCCAGCGTCCACCCCGCCCCACCCCATCATCCCACACCCCGGGCCACGCGCACACACACGATCGTGCGCGTGCATGAGTTGCACACCCAGGCCCCAGGGACTGACCTCCCACACAGACACGGACACGCACGTGCACACACGCACTTACACATCATAACCAAATGGCGAGGGATTGATTCCTCTGACCCAGCACCCCAACATACTTGCACTCTCAAGTACGCACGTTCACAATTATGCAGAAAACCCAGGCCCGTTTGCCCACCCCGGAGCCCCAGCACAGCCCAGGGACCAACACCCCCACCAACAGCTCACACACTCATATATACACAGTCCAAAAACCCGCCAACAAATATCCATATACATCCGCACTTACACACACTTAAACTCACATGCAGCCCAAGAAATGACTCCACAAATAATCACACCCAGCCCCCTCCCTCCTCCTCCTTCCCTAACAGAGTAGCCACTGCCCCCAAGCCCAGTTTGCAAGAAACTGCTGAAAGAGCACACCTCTAAAGGCAGCCAGCCCCAGTTTGCAGTCCTGACTAACCTGGTTGGGCTTCTGTCTCTGAGTTTTTCTTATCTGAAAAGCAAAAGGATGATAATGTCCTTTTGGACAAACCTTGCAGGATTGTAGTGAAGATGATGGAAAGTGGCAGAGAACAGTAGTCAACTATTTATATGAGTATTCTTACTTAGCTGTCTTGTGTGGGTGGGGTTAGGGATCCATAAGGGGAGTCTGGAATCCGGCTGGGCCCGGAATCTGCTTACCTGATAGAGCTCTCAGAGTAGAGACAGTATATGCAGACTAGTACTGCGGACACTTGTGATGGGGAAAAACAGGCCATGCCTGAGCTAGCCTAAGGGAACTTTAGACCTCCTGCACCCCTCTACCTCTTCCCATCCCTTCTAATCTCCACTCCCTCTCCATGTATTGCACTTCTTCAGAGAGAATATCATATGGTCAATGTACTGGTCTGCACTCCCCACCCCACCAAGCCTGCCACCAGGCTTCACTGCTCACTCTTGAGGGCCCAGGACAGGTGCCCCTGCCTTTACCACCCTCTCACCTGTCTCCAGAGGCAGGTGCTGCTAACACAGGCAGCCAGCTTCGTAAGGGTAAAGCCAGTTTTCTCTCCACCCAAATCAGTGTTAAGGTGCAAAAATGTAGAGCTTGTTAAAAACACATCTTTCAGCTTTAAAATGTAGACCCTTCAAAGTTTCAACAGGCCAGGTATTTCCAATTGCAGTTAGGTTGCTTCTGAATAGCCCATGTGATATACAGATCCTCAGTGAATCATGGGAAGTGGTCCTAATTCACTGTACCTTACCATGTGGTGCTTTTATGGGAAAGAGGGGTATAGAAAATAAATGCTATTTTAAGATAATAAATTCACTTTTAAATGCCACCTACAGTTTATTTTTATCCAACAATCTCAAGTATTCAAATGTAAAAGGTAAGAATTGGAAAACTTCTCAGGAACTGAATGATGGCCTGTAAAACTTGGATGCCTGCCCTGGCTCTCCTTGTCCATCCCAAAGTGAGTCAGCCTTATTCTAGGGTTCAGTTAGCAGGCTTATTCAGCTCTTGCCTAAGTTGAGTTCTCCAGCTTAACCTTACTCAGTAATGAAAGTAATATTGCACGCTCCACCTGCCACTTCTTTTTCTGACTTATCCATTTTTTCCAAATTCAACCAGGGAAGTGGGGTGTTTATGTGTGGGGTGCTCTAAAGACTCCAACATGCACACTCCACAAATTCATGCATGTATGTCTCCCTTCCTGCCCATTTTCACAGCTTTCCCAGACCCTAGAATGTTACCCACTAAAACTCCTCCTATCTACCAAAATCCAACTCAAATGCCATCTCCCACACAAAGTTGCCTTCAGTTCTCCCAACTAGAAACCATTTTTTTCCCATTTGAATTCCCATCATACTCTAGAGTTTTATGCTCACCTGCTTAGCTTGTATTGGCTATTTGCACCTCCTGCCTCAATATTGCGTAAATGTCTTATCTTTTTTCTATATCAGATCTTTCCACATAGTAGTTGCTTCCAAAAAATGCTCAGCAAATGTATGAATGACTGTAACATACCACTTGCACTTGGGACATGCAGGAACTTGAAAAGTTATGACATATATACATAAGGATAGTTAACACAAAAGAGAATATATAAGGTGCTAAAAGTACTAAAGGCCCACTTTTTAAGAAGTCACTTATCCTGTCTTAAGAATTCTGAATATACATGAAAAATGGGAGTTAAGTGAGAAAAGCCAATGATCCCCAAAACAGACTGTCCAAAATCCACATTTTAAAATGCATTGACTTTACAAGTAGGAGAATCTCTCATGCCCTCACTTAGATACATTTACATTTAGTTTGGAAACATTTCTAATAAGCTTTATCATCAGTTCCTAAAACTGCTACAGATCAGGAACACATCAAAAAAGAGGTGGCATTAAAGGCCCCAAGGACTCCCACCCCAAGGGGTGGTTGTGAAGATGGTTTAATTCCAGAACTCACACCCTTTCCTTCTACCAGCTACTCCTCTGGGCACACCGCGGCCTCACAGAATAATGGTGTCCATAGTGATAACCCTGCATTACAAAGGTTAGATGGAGAGTCTACCTACAGTACTGTATTTGTGAAGCCAGGGACAATGTGAAAAAATATCAAATTTCTATCCCAAATTTTCAAAATGTTAAAAAGTGCAGAGTCTTTAAAGGGCCGTTTTCTGTAAAATCTACATATATGTAATATCTGTTTATAGGTTAATAATGCCAGTGATGAGGTGCTAGAATATGGGTTATTAGTGCCCAGGGAGGGAGTCACACTGCCTTGGATAGTCGGGGTCAGTGTTGTCCTTACCTTGAGGAAAGGAAGAAGTGGAATAGGCATTTGTGGAGGGCAGTGGCTGGAACAGTGACCAGCTTATCTCAAGTGCTTAATAAATATGAGTTAAATAAGTGGGTAAATAGTATTTCTGTTTGGAATATGGATAGGGGTGTGAAGAGAACAGTGTCTGAGATATAGTCAAGGGCAGTGAGGCTCAAGATAAAGGCTCATGTGGGGACATAGAGGATCCAAAATTGAGTGGCTAGGATTAGAAGATAACCTTTAATCCAACACTAGTGTTTGAACTTCTTTAAATGGGCTGGCAGCATAATAAAGTATTCACTCTTCCATTCATTTGTTCAAGAACATATACTTAGTACCTACTATAAGCCCAGCAATGTATTAACTAGTAGGGATACAAACTAGATAATGTAACATTCATCAGTGACTCAACAAGTATTTGCTGAGCACTTCTATTGCCAGTCACTCTTCTAGGTACTGGGGATACATCAAAACAGACCAAAGTTTCTGCCCCTGAAGAGTTAATTTTGTAGTAGGGAGAGATGGATGAACAAGCAACGTAAGTAGAGTATCAGACAGTAGCAAGTGCTAAGGAGAAAACGAAGCCAGACAGGAGATAGGGGGTGGGGAGGGGGGTGTGCCTACTCATGGAGGAGCTCAGGCTTGCCTGGTGGGACTGTGACTTAAACTTGCAATGGCATTTGTGTGCTGTGACTGCCACCAGAGGCAGCCTGGGATTGCCGGGAGAGCAGACATGAAGGGCCAGCTCAGCCTGCAGAAGCAGTGTGGTTTCACCTGGTCATGACCCTGGGGGAACTTGAAGGATGAATATTTGGCAGAAGAAGAGGGAGGAAACATTCTGGGCCAAGGAAGAGAAGTGTGACAGAGTATGTCCAGGGAGCTGTATCTGAAGGCCATCCTAATGAGCTGGCAGAGAGTGGAGGCAGGGGATTGTGTGAAACTGCAGGGCTGGAGGGACAAGGCACTAAGAAGTTGCCCATGTCATAGGGGAAGGACAAGAAAGCACAGTGTTAAAGCACCCTCATTTTTTAGGGCACCTCCCAGTAGACAATTTGGGGTAGGAATTATAAGGGAGGTTGCAGGCCTGGGATGGGTGGGAGAGGGGTGGGAATGACCAGGAAGACAGGGGCAGAGGCCAGAGCTCAGAGGGCTTTATATGGTAGGCATAGAAATATGGATTTGATTTGGTAGGCAATAGGGAGCCATTGAAGGGTTTTAATGGAAAGGATTAAAAGCTGAGCTGACTTTGCGTGCGGGGTGGAGAGTGGCTTCTCGAGGAAAGAGTGAAAGTAGGGAGATCAAATAGGAGGCTGCTGGGACATCGGGACCCCAAGGGGATGTGGGCCTGAGTTACTGCTGCCTGCTGCCAGGCCACAGACAAATCTCAGCCACAAAAGGGGAGCCAGGAAGAAGTTCAAGGAGGAAAGGTAGGTTCAGTTTTAGGTACATTGAGGGTAAGCACCTTTGGGATGTCCAGGTGCAAACCCTCATAGGTCACATTTATTGTGCATTTATTACACACCAGGCACTGTGCTAAGTATTTTATAGGTCTTTTTATTCCTCATGTTTTATACCCATATTGAAGGTATTCTATCGTCTATCTGTTAGGTAAGTTGACTGAAGCCACACAGCTAAATGGTGGGGCCAGGCCCTGAACCTCTGTTGGTCAACATGGAGACCCCATCTTGAATCCATAAGCTATCCTGCTTTTCAGCAGTGTGTGTTTAGAACACAGGAGGAGGTAAGCAATGAATATAGTCTTCAAAGAGTATATGTAGTTGACAGTGCTGTAGAGAAAGAGCAAGAGGTGGGTAGAGAAATGCAGTCTGGGAAGTAAAGAGATAAGACAGGGACATGTGGAGGTGAGACAGGAGTCAGTGTTGTTTCGACATAGGAAACCCTTACACCTATTTAAATACCAGGGATAAGAAATTTTAAATTCTGAAGTTTGAGAGAGAAATAGTAATGTGGGGGCCAGGTGGAAGGACCAGCCTTGT